GGTCAGACCATGACATTAGCCAGAAGCACAAAGAAGCTAGCCTCAGCTTTGGCTTCGGTTGATGCAGCCCGCTGCCAGGTTGGGGTCCAAGGGATGAGGATAGTCGTTAATTAGAGATGCTGAGAGATATGGCCCAGAATAGAAGTCAGTGGCGCGAATGCCTGTCGAAATTCCGCACCCCGTAAAAAATATTAAAAGGTGTACGGTGAAACACACAAAATTTTTTGTTATTCCAGATATCTTCCATTTTCCCGTGTTTTCAGTTTCACCCGCTTTTCACCCTGTTCTGTACTCCAATCCACCTGTCCCATTTCATTGTTATTGTAATTGTTGTTGTTGCGTTGGCATCACGCTTGTCTACAAGCCGGTGATATATATAACAGACACCAAATTTACCTGAAACACTACAGAATACCTAACGGCCTATCTACATGACGCTAACCCGCTAATCATCGCACAGCGGAATACAGCGAAGTGAACTTCGCCGAACGCTGCCAAACTCGCAATGCATACAAGGTTAGTGGTGACATGTAAGGTGGACACGGATAAGACCTATTTCAAGGGAGGGTGAAGAAAGCGAACTTCTATGGTCAACACAGAGTCCAACTGTGCACGCATACCTTTTCACGCATTCTGATGTGGCACGAAATGACAAAAAGAACGCCACTGCTGCCGGTTTATTGCCATATATTTCAATGTCTCCAACCAACTGATTGTTCGGTTCAGTTCTTACAACCATTAACCCAAGCACTTTGGTGCGTCGGTTTTGGCTGCCCATTTGGATAAAAGGCAGGATGAAGATTAGAATGGTGACAGCAGATTCAAGCGGAAGACAACGCATTTGTATAAACTGAAGTGAATAATGAGTGGATGCATGAGCGTTGCTTTGCGACACCCAGCCATATCGCTCAGCGTCTCTAACCATCGGTGACCATGATCTCGGGGTCCCCAGCTTTGGAGCCTAACGGACCCCAACCTGGAAGGCACAAGATACATACTCGACCTAATGGCTTAGTGCATTTCTTCATGTCTCGTCTCCACTTCATCTGTTGATCTCCATGTGATTTCCCCCAGCTCCGAGCGGCTACGGCGAATACGGCGCGGTGCAGTAGACGATGGCTGGGCATACGCAGTACGTGTCCTAGCCAGCAAAGTCTACTAATCTAAATTCGGTGTGCTAGCAGGTTTATTCCTGACCGCCTCCCAAACACACGACAGCTTGCCTCCACATGACTAACCCGCTCGCTCTATCCCACGAGCTAAACTAGGTAAACAACGGTAAACGAAAACTTCTGGTCGATGGATATTCTCTACTTGCAACTTCAAGGCTTCAACCGTAAAGCAGGACTAAGCGAACGGTAGCACAATATACACGACCTTTAAACTTCAGTAAAACGTCGTGTCTACGCCAGAGTTGTTTCAGCCCTGGGTATGCTGCTCGAGCCTTGGAAATGCGGGCAGTTATCTCTTTTGCTATGCTACTGTCATTGGCCACGCAACTACCTAAGTGGGAAAAGTAATCCACCACAACTAAATACTGACCATTTAGTGTCAGAGCGGGAGTAGGCGAAACCCAGTCCTGCAGCATCACTTAGGTATTTGAAGGTGCAAAGCACACTGAAAGTGATAACGGCACCTGTTAGTCTATTAAGCGCACTTTGCGAGTCCTCCATGCACAGGAACAGACAGACGATGTCAGCGGCGTACTCCAAATTGCGGTTTTTTCTCCGGATGCCCATGTAATACCTACGTTTTGGAGACCACTTAGTGCGTCATCCAGTACTATTTCGTCTACGATGAAATTGAACAGGAACGCTGAAAGACAGTACCCTTGGCGAACGCCTAATCAGTTCGTTTACAACGAACTGGGTAGGCCGTTGGGACCTTGTGTGATCAATCACTAATTACCAATACTTAGTGTGACAAGCATCGTGTATGAACACTGGCCCTCTGGCCTACGGGATTTAATCTTTTTGCTATATATCACAATGAAATATGGCGAACGGAGCAACGAAAATGAAATGCAAATGACCAGATCTATGGATAAAATGAGACAGAGCTTCAGTTGAATTTGCACTGATACAGACTCACAACCCGTGGGATAATTGAATCAGAGGCAAGGTGAAACAAAGAAATACGTTCAAACAGACTGAGTCCAACGCAAAATGCGGGTGTTGATGCACCAAATTAGTCAATCGGAGACAGATAGTCCACCGGTGGAATACGAGATATAGGCAAACACTTCACATGAACAGATAAGGTCATGTAAATGTATAGATCGTTGTGTATGGTGGCAATAATACGATGTAGATGTGGAGAGAATAGCGATATCAAGCAAGTTTAATTCAATTGTCTCGGAGGTTGTTATACTAATCTAATCAAAAATCTAACCTATAATATAAGACAATTACCTCATCCACGCGAAAAATAATAAGAATGAAGAACATTTTCAAGTTACCTGACGTATATCATAAATCGAAACATGACCCTCGAGGTCACCACAACACAAAAAGTTGCAGTCTTGACGTCCGACAGTCAGTGCCTTAACCGGTTCGGACCCAGAACCTAGGCGAAATTTCTGCTTTTCAGTTCCAAGAGAAACATCCCACAAACGGACCATGGAGTCCTTGCCACTACTGACCGCAGTGTGTCCGTCTAAAAAGAAGGATGCAGCCGAAACGGATCTACAAGTCATTACTTCGTAACAAAAGGGTACCCTTTGTGAGCTGTGATCTTTCGCAGGTGGTAACCATTTTTGTCCGTGGTACAGATACGAAGGACCCCATTTTCTTCGCCAACGATAACCAACTTTGCATCGTTGCGTAATTGGCAGAAGGTTACCCGTGTCCCAAAACCACTCAACTTTCGATACAACTTGTCACCATCACACTTATACAAGTAAACCTAAAATAATTAAATGCACAGTGTGCATCGTAAACAGTGTAATACCTTATACCCGTTGGGAATGCAAAACTTGTGTGGAGGACTGGGACTAACTGATATGGAGTTTACTCGGCCAGTGAGCTGGACATGTCTACCATTCTGAGGCAGCATTGAATAAAGGAAAAGGAACTCTTACAGAGAAGTTCTGCCAAACGTCAGCGCTTTTCAGCTGGCACTGATATGGGGCTACTACGCTAAGAGATTTAGACAACATGAGGGTAGCGCAAGGGATTCAAAGTGCGCGGACCAGTTGTTCAGTTGTCCAATGTCCAATGTCCAGTTTACAGGCGGAGAAAGCTCGTTGGCTTGTAGTTTTGCCTGTTTCTTGATCTATACGGTAAAGTCTGATGTTCGGAAATTTCTGTTTTTAATTCGTTTGTTCCTGTATTCTGAAAGTGTAAGCAAAAAGAAAAGAAAAGAAACAGGTTAGTAGGATGCTTCTTGTCGG